TTAAAAGCTGAACAGCAGTGCTTATATTTGATTCTGGACCCAATAAGAAGTCGCTGGAGTTTACTGAATAAGGTACTGAAATGGTCAGACCAACCTTCAAGGAAAATGGCTTTGTCAGCAGTGTGGAGGATGGAGTGAAGTGGGAAGACAGAGACTCAAGGTAGACTAATCAGGACGCTGTTGCAGTAACGTAGGCAAAAAGTGCTGAGGGCCTGAACCCACAATGGTAGCTGTGTGAGCAGAGAGAAGGGGTTGAGAGAGAATGAGAGAGAGGTTGGAGAAGTAAAAACAATGATTTGGTACTGATTGAATAGGTGGGGTGGGGAAGAATGAGGAGTGGAGGATAACACCACAGTCATAAACATGGGAGGCTGGAAGAATGGCAGTGACTTCCATCGAAATAAGAAGTTTGAAAGGGGTGGGGGTTTGGGAAAGAAATAACAAGTTCTGTTTTCTATGTGTTAAATTTACAAAGTCTTCCAGAGATCTAGTTCAAAATGTCCAGTAAGCAATGGGTGATTTGGGATTAAAGCTTGGGAGAGAAACCAGGGTTAGAGACAGACAGACAGACAGATAGATAGATAGATAGATAGATAGATAGATAGATAGATAGATAGATAGATAGATAGATGGATAGATGGATGGACAGATGGATAGAATGATCAATCCAGGAATCTTTGGCACAGAAATGACAATTGAACCCCTAGGAGTTGATGAAGTCACGGGCAGAGAAGAACAAGTAGAAAGAAGTATTAAGGGACTTGGGACAAAACCTTAAAAGCCCTAAGGAACACCCACATTATGGAGCATGATCTGGCTGATGAACCAGCAAAAGAGACTGAGAAGGGATGTTTAGAACCAGGAGATACTAGTGTGACAAAAGCCCAGAGGGAACATCTACACTAGCTTTAAGGCTTGCCCCACCCACACTGGCCAATCCCCATTATAAGCCATGTTGATATATTTGTGTTTTGTTCCTTTTGCCTCTACAGGTTTGTAGAATTATATATGGCTAAACCATTCTTGTAGTTGACTCTATTTTGTCTCATGCCATTAAAGTAGCATGAAGGGAAGAACTTTCCAGCAACTGAGGTCAGAACCAGCCATATGAGTTTAATAAATCCATACACACCACATCCCTGAACCAAACAAAGGAACACTGTCCCTCATAAAAGAGGTAAAGTTAAGAGAAAGAGGTAGCCAGCTTATTGAGAACCACAGAGCACTTGGTGGTTAACTCTGAGAGCACTCTGGTGTTGAATGGCATTAATAACTGTTGGGGAGAATATGAGACTGCCAGTGCTTTACCCCATAACTTATTAGGGTCAGACACATAGTCAGCTGCTCTTCCTTGTAGTTAAATTCCTATTACTCTGTAACAAGGTTGTAAGCAGGATGGACCATGCAGGGAAATGAATTGAGGGACATTATATAGGCATATGAGGAATAATTATGAAAATACACAGAGTACCAGATCTCAAACTGTATTACAAAGTAGTCATCATGAAAACAATCTGGTACTGGCTAAGAAATAGAGTTGTGGGTCAGTGGAATAGTGAGGTAGACAATACACAGTGATATATGACCATAGTAATCTAGTGTTTAATAAACTCAAAGACCTAAGTTTTTGGTACAAGAACTCACTATCTGGCAAAAACTGATGGGAAAACTGGAAAGCCATTTGGCAGAAAGTAGATATAGAGCAACATCGTATAGTGTATATACCAAGATAAGATCAAAATGGGTACATGATTTAGACATAAAGGGCAACACCATGGGCAAATTAGGGGAGCTTGGAATAGTTTACCTGTCAGATCTATGGATAGGAGAAGAATTTATAATCAAACAAAACAAAGAGAGCATTACATGATGTAAAATGGATAATTTTTATTATGTTAAATTTAAAAGGTTTTGTACAAATAAAATCAATGCAGCCAAGAATAAAAGGAAAGCAGAATGCTGGGAAACAATTTTAAAGCAAGTATCTCTGATAAAGTCCTCATTTCTCAAACATGTAGAGAACTGAGACAAATTTATAAGAATACAAGTCATTTCCCAATTGATAAATGGTCAAAGGATAACAGGCAGTTTTCAAATGAAGAAATCAAAGCAATCTCTAGTCATATGAAAAAGTGCCTAAATCACTATTGATTAGAGAAATGCAAATTAAAACAACTCTGAAATAGCACCTCATACCTATCAGATTGGCTAATATGACAGAAAAGGAAAATGATAAATGTTGGAGGGGATGTGGGAAAATTGGGATGCTAACTCACTGCTAGTAGAGTTGTGAACTGATCCAACCATTCTGGAAAGCAATTTGGATCTATGACCAAAGGGCAATCAAATTATGCATACCTTTTGATCCAGCAATACCACTACTAGGTCTGTATCCTAAAGAGATTTAAAAAAAAAAAAAGGGTAGGGGGAAGAAGGACCTATTTGTGCAAAAACATTTATAGTAGATTTTTTTGTGGTAGCAAGGAATTAAAAATTGGGATATTCCCATCAATTGAGGAGTGGCTGAACAAGTTACAGTATATGATTGTAATGGAATACTACTGTGCTATAAGAAATGACAAGCAGGATGCTTTCAGAAAAACCTGGAAAAACATGAACTGATGCAAAGTAAAGTGAGCAGAACCAGAAGAACATTGTACACTGTAACAAGTCATATTGCACAATGTTCAACTGTGAATGAACTAGCTAATCTCAACAATACAATGATCCAAGACAATTAGGACTCAATGAAAAATGCTATCCACCTCCAGAGAAAGAACTGATGGAGTCTGAATATAGATCGATGCATAATATTTTTCATTTTCTTTATTTTTTTCATATTCTTTTTTTGTCTCTGTTTTCTTTCACAACATGACTAACATGGAAATATATTTTACATGATTGCACGTGTATATATTCTATATCAAATTGCTTACCATCTCGGAGGAGAGGGGAAGAAGAAAGGTAGAGAATTTGGAATTCAAATTTCTTTTTTTAAATGTTAAAATTGTTTTTACACATAATTGGGAAAGAATAAAATATCATTAAGAAAAAAAAAGGAAAATATCCAAATGTAGGACAGTCTTCCCTCAAACCTGGCTTGTGTAAAACCTGAGCATAGCCTATAACTGATATATTTTTGTTTCCTTTCAAAGATAACTCATTTTAGGTGTGTGGACTATATTCAGAACAATATAAAAATTCCAACCTCCAAAATTCAGGCAAAATGACAGGTTTTCTCCAAGGTTGGAGGTTTATCCCTAGTTACAGAAATAACCAGTTTTCCATGATACCAACTCAGGCCTTACAGAACTCCCTCTACAACTCTCTGACTGGGACATCCCATCTGAATGGACCAGAGTGCAGAGCTGGACTAGAAATCAGGAGGCCTTGGTCCTGATTCTAACACTTAACTAACTTCATGATGATGGGCAAATCACTTTGTCCCTCTAAGCCTCAGTTTCCCCATCTGTAAAATGAAGATAACACTTTAGTATTACCTACCTTATATGGCTATTGTGAGAAAAGTTTTGTAACTTTTAAAGTTGCTATGTCGAGGTGAGGTAGTTAACTCTTTTTCTCTCTCTCCCTCAACAAATTTTTCTAGTATAAAACTTGTATCTCTTTTCTGCACTTATTATATTCTACCATGTATCCTACTTATACATGTACATACCATATCCTCACTCCATTAACTATGAGCTCCCTGAAGACAGGAACTGTGTTGTTTTTCATCTTTGTTACCCACCTCCTGGCACAAGGCTCTTTGCTAACCCTAGTCCCCTTAGATTAGGTTTAGGGTTAAAGTCTAAGTACATATTTGCTGAGTAGGATTGAACTGAATCTGATACTCCCCAGAACATACACATTTGGATTCAATTAAATGAAGATAATCCCATTCCCTGGAAAGAAGTTTGCAAACCTTCTGAGTACAAAAAACAAGAGTTACAGTCAACTTTTTTTTAAAGTTTGTTTTTTTAAGTGGAAGAATAATAACAGTTCATAGTGCTTTACACCCTATAAAATGTTTCACACAAACCGAGGCAGGAAGGCAGGAATTATTATCCCTATGGTGGGAATAAATAAACAAAGTCTCAAAGGCTTAAGCGACTTGCCCAAAGTCACAGAATTAGCAGTCAGATTATAACCTCCTTCTCTCTTTCCTCTATCCCTTCTCTTTCTTTCCTTTTCCTCTCCCTTTCCTTTCTGCTCCCTTCTTTTCATCCTTCCTCCTCAGGTCTTCTGACTCCAGGTTCAGAGACTCCAAGTCCTAGGTTCTTTCTACAGCATCAGGGTGCCTTTCTACGTACAATTCATTATCCTGACCAAGGTCAGTCACGTAGCTGCAATAGGAACTAGATCCTGGGAGCTCCCAGGAATCCCTACCACGGAATTACATGGTACCAGAGGAGAAAAATAGAAATGAAGGCAAGTGACGTGGGCTGCGTTAAGTTAAACTGAAAATCTCAAGGAGTCATAAGATTTAGAGCTAGAAGTGTCCCTTCAGCTCATCTAATCCAACCGCACTCAGTTAACATATGAGAGGTGAAGTGTTGAAATGAAGAGCTTTGGTCTAAAGTGATTGGAAGTAATTGAGCGCTTAGCACAGTGCCTGGCACACAGTAGGCGCTTAATAAATGTATACTGAATTAATTCCAATCACTTCGAGTCGAATTGAAGCGAGTGGAGTTAAATTAAAGGTCACTAAGTTGAGGCGCACTTCTGAAGTTCTGCCAAGGTGAGATGGACTCGAGTGCTGTGAATTGGGGCGAGCAGAATTGAAGGGGCTCTCCTTCCTCCCACCTGCACGGGTCCCCCCAGGCCTGCCCTCCTCCCCGTCCCGGGTCGGGGCTGGGGACAAGCCGGGCACCCACCAAAGACTCTCCCCCGCCCCCAGCCTCCTCTCCTGCCTCCAAACCACTCCATTCCCCAAGACTGCGGAGTGAAAAGATGCGGCCTGGGCCTGCCTGACCAATCACCAGGGCTCGCCCCACGCCTACCGGCTCAACAACAGCTTCGGTCCCGGGGTAGCCGAGGGAAGCAACGGCAACCGAAGAGAGCGGGAGCTCAAGCCAGCCTCCGCCTGTCTCTAAAGGAGGACGCGGCGGCCGGTTGCTAAGGGAAGGATCCATTAGAGTCCGGAGGGGGGATCCGCTGTAAGAGCAGCGGCTCTTCCCAAAGGCATCCCGAATTCCGTCAATCCCAACCAAGAGAGTTACAAATAATACTTCTATACTATTGTTTATACTTGTTATCCTTGTCTGCCTGTGGCCTAAAATAAATGATTTCCGTAAAAGAGGTTACTCTCTCCCCCCTTCACATTTGGTTTCTCCCACAACCGGATGCTAATCATCTCCCTTAGTTACTGCGCCTGCCTGGACCCCGTACGGGGCTGGAGGAGCGGTTGAAGGATGGAGTCTCTCCTCTGCACTCCTGCAGCGCCCACTGGTGGTCACTTAAGGACTGGGAGGAGATTTGCTATTATTCAGTCCTAAACCTTATTTTTACACTTAGGGAGACCTGAAGTATGTAGAGACAAGGGACTTGTCCAAGGTCCCACAGATTGAGAGAGACTGTCTTGTTTGTTTATATTTGTACCAACACTTTGCATGTAGTAAAGACTTAATAAATGCTTTTTCCTTTCGTCCTTCATTTCCTTCATTTTTTATTCATTTTTTCATTCATTGTGTTTGAGATATTAAGAGGTTTTCCCTTCCCCATTTCCTTCTGTAATATGACAATTTTTGATGATTGGGGTATTAGGCCCCAGACAGATTTTGAGCTCTGTCTCACACCTAGCAAGGCAGAGCTTTGGAACTGATGTGGGTGAGCTCTACCCATACTCACCTCTTCCAGAGCAGGAGCAGCAGACCCTGCTCTCATGTGTTGAACTAACATTAAGATAAAGGACTTTTTATGGTCACCTGAAGGGCAAGTTATTAACCCACCTGCAGCTGAGGGTGCCTTGGTTTAGGCCCTAAGTGTTGAGTGCTGTGCAGTGAGTGTTTTTCTGATTTGACTCACCTTTCTATTTTAAGGAAATTATTCATTTTCACCACCATCACATGATATCATGAAATTAATTCCAAAATGGCTTGGTCTTCCCAATTGCTGCCCTCACTAAGAACCTAAACAAACAACAACGGGATGTTCTAGAGCCTAGCCAATGGATCTAGGAGTACTCAAAGACTATGATGATGATGTTGGGAACTGCCAGGATACGATGAAGCCAGACTTTCCCCACATCAACCCATCCCCAGTGCTGAGTGAGTAGACACTGTTTTTAGACCCACCTCCTTGTGTTAGATAATGAACATCTATCCTCTCCCTTCCTCAAGTTCGAAGGCACAGTGTACCTATTAAGCCCATCCCCACCCAAGCTAGGGGAGCTAGATTTTTGAAGTGGATAGTGTGCTGGGCCTGGAATCAGGAAGATCTAAGTTCAAATCCTATCTCAGACTTACTAGCTGTGTGACCCTAGACAAGTCACTTAACCTCTGTCTGCCTCAGTTCCCTATCTGTAAAATGAGTTGGAGAAGGAAATGTCAAACCACTCCAGTATCTTTGCCAAGAAAACCCCCAAAGGGGACACAAAGAGTCAGACATTGTTGCGGCCTGAGAGGTTCAGAGACCCCTCAAAGACCAGAGTGCAGGACAGGGTCATCTGGAATGAATTCACAGACTCAAGCATTCTTTAAGTCAGGGTGGCAAAGATTTATTGTTACACTATACAGCGGGCAAGGCTTCTCAAGGAACCTGCAACCTAATAGGAATGACGCTAAAGCTTATATAGGAAAAGTAGTGGATTACGTGCCAAGTATGCTAATTAGGTGATAACATACAACCTTGGTCATAGGCATCATTCACTACTGGAAAAGGAGGGGAGGAGAAAGGGTTCCTAAAGGGTATATTTTTGGTCTGTTATGTCTGTAACAAGATAGTTTCAGGAATTGCTGTCTATAACTTGACCTCTGGACCATATACAATAACTGGGAATCAGTGTATGATAGTTTTATTGATAGAGTCATTGAGGTTTCCTCTGGGAAAGTGGACATTATGAAACAGGCACCTTTGATGGGAAGGCCCAGGACCGATGGAAAGGCTGGCAAGCATCTCTGGGGAGTCAAGCAGGTGCTACACAGGCCTGAGGCTAGTGGGACAACGGGTGAGAAGATATTTAAAAGGAGGACATTGTTGGGAGGCTAGGCAGAGAGCAGGTATAGGTGCTGGAGGTATGAGGAGTCCTATACCCTATCTACTGAGTCATCTCTCTACGTGCCTTTAGCTCTAAAGGGTTAGCTCACTCTGTTGCGGTCTGAGATATTGAGATCCCTCAAAGACTGGAATACAGGACGGGGTCATCTGGAATGAATTCACAGACTTAAGCATCCTTTAAGTCAAGTTGGCAATGTTATTGTTATACTTTTCAGGGAGCAAGGATTCTTAAGGAATCTGCAACCTTAAAGGGGTATAGTTAAAGTTTATATAGGATAAAATACAATAAAACATGTGCCAAATATGCTAACTAGGTGATTCAGGGTGGGATCAGGGAGTGGTTAAAGAGTGGTCAGTTCTTAAAGGAACATGCACTTTTTGTATCTACTGTGCAGGTGTTTTACCTAGAGTTCACTAGGAAAAGCCCACAAGAGGGGCCACATGGAGGTGTGGTTTTAGGCCTGCTAAATCACTAAATTAACTAGAGTTCAGGGGTAATTGAGAGTTGTCCAGTCTGCCACCAGTCAATGTCTTGTTTGACAAGAGAGATGTAGAGAATATACATATGTCTTAGGTCTAGAATACAGATAATGAGGAGTCCAGGATGTAGATAATGAGGTAGGGCGGTAATATTGATAGTTTAGTGGGTAAGAATATCTTTATGACCCAGTGCAAAGCCAGTTAAAACTAATAATTCCTTCAGGTGCTGTTTGTAACTGCACCAGGGAGAGAGATAAGGGTCTTGCTGGGGCCCACTCGTGAATAATTGCTAGGCACAGTGTCCTTGGGTTGGAAAGAAACTGCCAGAAACAATGCTTCTGAGGCCAGGGAGAAATTGGGGTCCAAGCACAAGCACTCAAGCACCCCATCAACTCTACTCCTTCCACCCCCAATACTTCTAAGGAAAACAGCTAGGGCTTTGACCCCAGTGAATCTCTGTACCCAACATTTTGGGGTTCCAAGGCACAAAGTGCCCCCAAATTCCTGGAAGGAAGCAAGCTGAGACTTGTTGCAAAGCCCAGCAGCAACTGTGCTACGTTGCCAAGGCAACTAAGACTTTCATTTCCCCATCCCTTTGTCTCCTCACAATACAGGCTTTTGTGACTGGTCATGATGGCCGAGAAGGAGGGGTGGGAGGGTGTTTGAGCTTTTCAAGTTCCACTGCAGGAATGTCACTGACTTAGTTGGGAGAGTGGGTTTGGGTTTTCTGTGGGGTTTTTTGGGAGGAAGGCGGTCTTCAAGTTCAGAGCCTCAGTTTCTATAGTCTGAAGCCAGAGGCCAAGTGAGATGGCAGGTTTTTAAAATACAGCCAGAAAGAGCCCAGTCTTCCTTGTTCATCTGACCATCAAGCCCAGCCCTACCAACTTCTCAGACTCAAGTCCAGCCCTCACCCACCCAGTGCCCTGTTCCCAAAGTTGTAAGGTCTGTTGCTCCAGTGAAAACAGAGGGAGAGAGAAATGTCGCTGTCTTCCAGGGAAGCATTTTCTTCAGGACCTGCCTCAGTAGACATGCATGGCAGGCGGGGAGGAGAGCTCACTATGTGGAGGGCAGTGCTGGTCCCCCACAGGCCAGGGTTCAAATAATCCAAAGGAAGTCTCTCTTAGTATCTTGTTTAAGTCACCTTTTTTCCTGAGATCTTGGACCTATATAATGTCAGAGAAAGAAGTCACCTCAGAGACCAATGAATCCAACCTCTCCTTTTATAAATGAGGAAACTGAGGCCCAGAATTGCACCAAAGTCCCACCATGGGTCAGTGGTAGAGCCAGGACCCAGGGCTCCTAAGAGGGGGCTCTGGGTTAGGGGCTTTCCCTCTCATCACCGCAGGAAGGGCAGGATAATTTCCAATTATCCTCAAGACCACAAGAAAGATCAGGAGTGTAGGCAGGGAGGAATTGGACAGTGAGACAGCCAATGCACTGTTCCTCAGTAGCTTTGTTGAGGTCTGTAGTAGAAAAGCTGAAACTACAGCTTGTGTGTTTACTCTTCCTGCCTATAAGACAACTCTTTCTTCCCCAGAGGAGGTATAAGGGCTTGCTGAGACCTCTTCAGAACTACTCACCCACTTCTGGTGTCCACCTTCACCCAACTCTCACCAGTGGCTCCAAGAAGCTGTAGCACATCATACAGCAGCCATAGCCCAACAAAACTGTCTTGGCAGACAGGCTAACCCAGGTTGAGGGTAACCCACAGGTCTCAAACCCATCAGAGAATTAGGGGGATATCTATCCCCAGGCACGTGAAATCTTTCCCCAGTGGAATGGGCAGATGAAAACAATTTGTTCCAACGGCCACGAAGGCAACTGAAGCGGGCACTGTGCAGTACTTAGAGCTTGGTCAGACACTGAAGACACCAAGGTCATCCACTGCATCCTGGGCCATCACCAGTCATTCTGACTTTTGTCCTGCCCCTGGACTTCCATGAGTCTGGAAGAGAGAGTGAGGTTGATGACTTTGTGCGACTCTAAATCACTTAAATCCAATTTATAGGAAGTCAAGACATCAACCCATGATGTCATTGGTCTAATTTGAAAACAAAGAATGAACAATAATCCAGTAACCTTAGACCTAGCTGTAGCATACCTAAGCAAAGCTAACCTAAGATGTAAAGAGACTGAGTCAGAAGGCCTGGGTTTTAGTTTTTTGGGTTTTTTTTAGGCAATTGGAGTTAAGTGACTTGCCCAGGGTCACACAGCTAGTAAGTGTCAAGCATTTGGTCTGAGGCTGGATTTGAACTCAGATCCTCCTGACTTCACAGCCAGTGCTCTATCCACTGCACCACCTAGCTGCCTCTAGGCCTGGGTTTTAGAACCCTGAGCCAGTCC